CCTCCACCTCCACCTCTACCTCCACCTCTACCTCCACTGCGTCGTCTACCTCGACGTCGTCCTTCACTTCCACTTCGACGTCGAGCTCCAGCTCCAGCTCCTCTTCGACATCCTCCTCCACATCCACCTCCACTTCCACCTCCACGGCCACGTCCACTTCAACATCATCGTTTACTTCGACTTCGACTTCGAGCTCGAGTTCCAGCTCGAGTTCCAGCTCCTCGTCCACGTCCACTTCAACTTCCACCTCTTCGCAAACTTCGACCTCCACCTCGTCTTTGACTTCAACTTCGACGTCTACTTCCACATCTACAAGTTCATCGCGCACGTCTTCGACTTCAACCTCCACGTCCACCTCAACCTCTACGTCCACGTCCACCTCCCTTCCTGAATTGATGAGTCGTATCCCTTTTGCCAACCCAAGCTTTGAGGTTGATGAGTTGGCAGGTGTCCCTGAATTCTCGCGTTCAGCGTCAATGTGGACCGTCACTGGACGCGGTGGAACGTTTCGCCCCAGCACGGACAGCTTTGCGTCGGTGCGTGTATTGTCTTTGTTGGCATTTTGGATGCTCTCGCTGGATCTGGCTTTCTCATTTGTTTGACCTCACATTATAGGTCGAGCCCCTGCCTGAACCGGCACATGCCCGCCAAGCTCTCTTTCTTCACGTGGGCGCAAGTGCTGTTCAGGTACGTGGCCAGCTGAAAGACACAAATGGATCTTGCACCGATGCTACACTTGCAAGCTCATGTCAGTCGTCTCATCAACATTCAATCTCACGAATGCCTGCTTCCATCGGTAGACGGTGCCCGACTACACGGTGCCAGTAGATCAAGATTGCACCGTGACCTTCTCCCTCGGCAACCGTCTTGACTTTGCGTTCCCCCGCCGTACCAACATTACCCTTCTTGCTGGGGACGTAGTATTGGACAGTATGTCCTTTGAGCGGTTAGTGTCTCAGCCACGCTTCATTATGGGTTAAGCGGCCTCTTTACCTCCTCTCACATGCTTTGCATTGGGGAACCGTGTCTTCCTCTTGTTCACCGCATTGTTAGCACCGACCCCGAAGCGGCGCCCATTAGTGGGGACTTTATCGAGCTCATGTTTTCTTATTCGACCTTTGATGAGAATTTGGATGCCATCGGACAGCCGTTGACGGTAAGCGCAAATGTCATGGCAGCCTTCATCATGTGGAAGCCTGAGCCTTTTGACTTTGGATCTTTTGAGAACTCGCACTTTGAACGATGCTCGCTCATTCTTCGTGTTCTGCCCTCTCCTGTTATATTGCATCTTTGGCCTTCTCTAGCTTGCCTTTCAAGCCGTTGCCCAAGCACGCCCGGCGCAAGCCATTGTCGACAACGTCCGAGGCTTTTGCATGCAGCGCATTCGCACAACGCCAGCTCCGCTGGATGTTGTTCTGTACAACCCCTCGTTTGAGCGCGACGACCTCGCGGATGAGGACACACTCTTTGTTAACCGGGCTTCAGGCTGGAGCTCCTCGGGTCCAGCCGGTACATTCCGCCCGCCCATCAATGTTAGCGTTGCTGATATGGAGGCGCCGGCAGATGCCAAGCAGGTGGCCTTTGTCCGGCCTGGCGGCCAGATTGAGCAACCCCTGCGAGGTGTTGTGCTTGCTGCTGACGGATGTTACAACATTTCTTTTGCCGTTGCCGCTCGTATCGATCGCCCCTTTCCGACGGCTGCCACCGTCGAGCTTCGCGCAATGCCCTCAGACATCACCTTGGCCGCGGTCAGCTTTGACGCGAGTGATGTTGCAGGTGCAGGCTTTACGTTTGCCGAATTGGGCTTCTGTGCGCCCGACAATGTTGCCAACGCAGGCGATGAAGTTGTCATCCGCCTGACGGCCCGTGGTGCAGCCAACACACAGGCTCTCTTTGACAACTTTGATGCTGTCTCTCAGTTCATCCCCGTTGAGGTGGCCAGCACGCAACTCATGTCGACCATGGAGCAGACCACCGTTGAGCGGGTGGCGCCTTGTGCGGCCGCCTGCACCGGCTCCTTTTCTGCACTCCCAATGTACTCGGGCTTCAATGCCTCGCAAGAACTCGTCGAGGTCGACTACAATGGTGACGGCATTGCCGACACCGTAGGCCTGGACATCTTCGGTCACCTCTATGTGGTTGCACTTGGAAGCATGCTTGACCTCGATACCAACGTCATGGCCTTTGCCGTCGGTGACCTGGACCGCGATGATTTTCCAGACGTCGCGTATGTGACGACCGATGGTGTGTTGCATGTGGTGTCCATGACCCTGACAACGTCGCTACAGCTGGACACGGATCTTCACGATGTGACCGAGCTCAAGCTTGCCGATGTGGACGGCGATCGCGACGTGGACTTGGTCCTGGCTGTGGGCGACTCTGCTCAAGTGGCTGTGTTGGAGTCGACGTGTTGCCAGCGCTTCCGCCCGTGCCTCAACATGTGCTCTCTGGGAGCTTCTCTCCAGTTTTTGGTCCGTGGAGCCTTCAACGCCACGCTCGATGCTCCTGTCATTACCACCGGTGACTTTAACGCCGACGGCAAGGACGATATTGCCGTGGCTTCCTCGACCGCTGGTGCCGTGGATGTCAGCATTCACTACAGCACCGCAAGCGGCGACTTTCGCGCCGTTTCTCTCGACACGCTTGGTCTTGTCGACTCGGCCATCACTCAGATTGAGGCGCGGGATTTGGATAACGACGGTGCCCTGGATTTGGTAGCCATCACCGATGCCAGTGCGGGCGTGGCTGTTTTGCGACAGAGTCTCCCCCTTGATGCCGAGGAGTTTGTCATTGCTGTTCTTGCCACGGCAGGCCAGGTCCCGCAAAGCCTGAAGCTTACCGATCTGGATCAGGACGGCTTTACTGATGTGCTTTTTGCGACCAGTGCCAATCAAGTGCTTTACATGCGCGGCGGAACCGGTTTTGCCGTGCCCACCACTTTGATTACCATGTCTGACCTTGCGCCAGGCTTGGCTATTGTTGACGTTGACGAGGATGGAGACTTGGACGTGAGTCATGGCTTGCATCTGAGATGTCTTTATGTCCTTTTCTTTCTTGCTTGTGTGCCTGCTTTATCTTTATCGTGCCGCTCGCGGTAATGACAACGCTTATGCGCTTGTGCTTTTCTGGCTGTTTCCCATTTGTAGGTGGTCGTTGAGAATGGAGGCACCCGTGCCTACCTCATCAACTCGTGCTGCATGCTCACCACAACGCCAATGCCGACCACCACCACACCCGCACCCCGCTTTGTGATTGCCAACCCCAGTTTTGAGGTCGACAATTTGATGGGCTCGACCGTACGCTTTGTCAATGCCGCCTCAGGATGGTCCATCAATGGTGCTGCCGGCACCTTCCGTCCCCGTGCCAGCTCTTTTGGAAGCGTTTCGCCTCTGCCCTCGCCATTGGATGCAGACCAGGTGCTTTACGTGCGCTCAGGCGCCACCGTCGAGCAAGAGCTGGGCAACTCGCGCATTGTAGCCGAGGGCCAGGTCACCATCTCATGTGTGGTGGCGTGGCGCGGCGATGGCACCATTCCTTTTCCGGACATTGTCAACATCTCGTTTGTGGCGGATCGCAGTGGTACCGTTCTCGGTAGCATCGTAGTGGTGCCAACAGACTTGACACCCGGTGCCGCCCTGCGCGTGTCGCGCAGCTTTGCGACCGACTATGGAGATGTTGTCAACGGCCAAAACTTGCACATTGTCATCTCTGCGCAGGGACCCTCGAACGCGCAGGCTGTCGTGGATGCCTTCAGTTCAGAGTTCGAGGCCCCGATGACGACACAAATGCCCACGGTTGATTTGACGACCGTCGCCGATACTACCGCGGCGCCCATCATCACCACGGACGAGCTGACAACAACTGCTGAACCTGAACCAACCACCACCACTGAGGAGTCCACCACCACCGCCCCCACTACCGTCGAGCCCACCACTAGCACCAGTACTACGGAGGAAGAACCGACCACTGAACAACCCTTGACGACTACTGCTGCCATGTCTACTACCATTGAGACCATGGTTACAACCGCAGAGCCAGTGGGCCTGGGCGAGCCTCTGGTCATCTTCAACCCGAGTTTCGAGCTTGATCTGATCTTGCCCGCCGACGCCACCCGGTTCTTGCCAGGTCAAGCCAACTCGTGGAACGTGACGGGTACTGCGGGCACATTTTTGCCCCCTGCCGACGCATTTCCTATCGAAGAAGGATTTCTCTTACCTCCTGCAGACCAACGACAGGTGCTTTTCATGAAACCGGGCTCTTGGGCTCTTCAAACACCAGGCTTCCGCCTCGATCGCGCTGGCGTCTACCGACTCCTCTTCTCGGTGGGCTGGCGCCTTGACCGCCCCTTTCCCTTTCCCGATACCGTGTCACTGCACCTGTTTACCGACTCTGGCCTCGACATCTCGAGCGTTCAGTTCACCCGAACAGAGCTGGGTATTCGTGCTGGCCAGTTTGTTTCTGTGCAAGTTGATCTGCTGGTCGAGCGTAGCAGCAACTTTTTCAACGCTGTGCTAGGCTTTGGATTTCACGTTGAAGGGCCCGCTGCTTCGCAGCTGGCCTTGGACAACTTGCAGGCCTTTGTGGTGCCTGACATTATCGAGACCACTCAAGCGCCTACCACGACCACGGAAACCACCACCACTGTCACCACGACTGAGTCCACAACCGAGACCACCACGGCCACCACCACTGCACCGACAACTCCTCTTATGACCACGACTGTCGAGTTGACGACCACCACTGAAGAGCGAACCACCACTGAAGAACGTACGACCACCGAGGAAATGACCACCGCAGAGCCCTTCATTCGCCTACCCGTGGCCAACCCCAGCTTTGAAGTTGATGACTTGGAGGGCGCCCCTTCCAATTTCATTTCGGCCGCCACGGGGTGGGAGGTCAACACGGCCAACGGCCTTGCTGGTACATTCCGCCCTCCCGTCAACGCGTTTGGCGAGCCTGCTGTGGCTACCCTACCACTGCCAGCTGATCAACGTCAAGTCTTGTTTATCAAGCCTGGGGCCGTGGTGTCGCAAGTCATTGCTGACTCGGATCTCCAGCCTGGCGCCACCTTTGCGATTACCCTTGCCGTTGGTTGGCGCATGGATCAAGCCACTACTTTCCCTCAGGCTGTCGTCATCGAGCTTGTCTCGAGTGAGACGCGTGTCCCATTGGGTTCTGCTTCGGTAAATAGTGGAACTTCCGGCTTGACGCAGGGCAGCTTTGTAGCCGTGTCTATCAACGCCGAGATTCCTCAACTTGCCGGCCTCGACGCCGAGTCACTCCGCATTGTCTTCCGGGCTGAGGGTCAGCGTTTGAATCAGGCCGCCATTGATGCCGTGTCAGTGCTGCTGTACCCCGCCGAAACGACAACGCCTGAGCCAACGACCACAGAGGAGCCAACGACCACGATGGAGGTGACAACGGTGGATCTGCCCATCCTGGCGGGCCACTCGTTTGAGGAGCCCGACTTTGATGTGGTAGACGGCAGCCTCTTTGCGGAGACGGCGCTTGGTTGGGTTGTGTCCGGTTTGGCCGGCACCTTTGCCCCGACCAGCGAAAACTACGCCGAGCTGGCCAACAGCGAGATGCTGCTGCCCCCGGCCGAGGGCGATCAAGTGCTGTACCTCCGCCGTGGCGGCGTGGCGGCGCAAAACGTGAGTGAGGTCGAGTTGGCGCTGGGCACGCAGGTGCGCCTCGAGTTTGCGGCTGGCTGGCGCCGCGACTTTGTGCGCGTGGTGGATTCGCGCGTGGAGCTGCGCGTGGCGGAGACGGGCGCGCTGCTGGCGGCGCTGGACGTGACGCAGAGCATGCTGGTGCGCGGTCAGTTTGTTGCCTTTGAGCTGGTGCACACGGTGGCGTCACCTGCGGTTGTGGGCCGCACGCTGCAAGTGTTGGTTCGTGCAGCGGATTTGGGTGCGGGCCAGATCAACTATGACAACTTTGATCTGGACGTTTTCCAGATTGACCTCCCCACCACCTCGACCTCGACTAGTACCACCACTACCACTACCACCACCACCACCGCAGAGCCTACTACTACTACTACCACCACTACTACTACCACCACCACTACTACCACTACTACCACTACTACCACTACTACCACTACTACCACTACTACCACCACTACCACTTCAGACTCGTGCCCTGCCATCGAGGATACATGCGTCTCAACTGGGTTTGGCACGTTCTTGGGTGTGTGCTCGCCTCGTTGGACAACCACGTCAATCACTTCGGATAACGGCGTGGCTACGTACGGCCTTGCTACCGGTGATTTTGATCAAGATGGAATGCAAGATGTTGTCGCCGCTTCTGCCGGTGATAACCGAGTCACAGTGGCCTACACCCGCGTGGCTGCCAACGGCAGGTTGACTTACGATGAAGTCACTCTCAGCTCACTGTTCCTTTCGCCTCGCGACGTGGCGGTGGGTGATTTTGACGCTGATGGTCACGCTGATGTCGCAGCCGTTTTTTCTACTTCTGGCACCATTGCGGTCTACCTCAATGACGGAACCAACTTCTCCCTGGGATTTCTGAATACGGATGTCAGCGACGCCGTTTCGGTTGCCGCAGGTGATCTTGATGGGGATTCGGACATTGATCTGGTCGTGGCACGCCGCAGCACCGGTCGCGTTGAGCTCTTTACCAACAATGGCGCCGCCAATTTTGCCATGTCCACGTTGACCGTGAGCGCTGCCGGTGCTTTTGCTGTCGAAGTGGGTGACATGGATGGCGATGGTGACAATGACATTGTTGCCAGCTATCGCGATGCCAATATGGTTGTGGTGTGGAGCAACGATGGGTCTGGGTCGTTTTCGTCTGTTTTCAACTTCTCGGCACAAGGCCCTCGCGGCATGGAGCTGGCGGTATGTCTGAATCGTAGTGCTGCTTGTTTGATTGATTGTTTTTTGTCTGTTTGTCTCTCATCTTATAGCGTTTGGATTCAGCTTCTCATTCAAAATCGTGTCCCCTTTCCTCTGCGCGACCTGGTGTAGGACATGGATGGTGATGGAGATTTGGACATTGTCGTGGCTGAGGCGGGAGGCAACCAAGTCGTCATGTACGTTGAACTCGTTGGACTCGTTTGCTCATTCATCATACCGGCACTTGTTAACTCTTCATGGTGATTTTCTGATTCTCATGCTTCTTACAATGAATGTCATCCATCCACAGGCTCACCAACGAAGGTGCCAATACGTATGTGGCAACCGTCGTGACGGGTTCTGCCAATGACGCATTTGACGTCGCGGTTGGGGATTTGGATGGCGGTAGGTTTATTTTATTTTATTTTTCCTTGTGTTCTTTTTCTCACTAGCTCTTTCGCCTTGCCCGCATTCTCACATTGGCTCCTCGGTTTGTTTGTTTTTTTGTTTTTGTTTCTGTTTTTTTTTTGTTTTTTTGTATAGATTGCGATATGGATATTGCTGTCGCTCAGCGTCAAGACAACCTGGTCAACTGGTATGCTAACAACGGCAGCGGCAGTTTTTCACGCAACGCCGTGCGATCGGACGTACCAAGTGCACGAGCCGTAGTCGTGGTTGACTTGAACGGTGACGGTGATTTGGATATTGTCAGCGGCAGTGACTCGCCCAACTTGGTTGATCTGCACTCGAGCGATTGTTGCACCCTCTAGAAGCATAGAAACCATCTCGCTTTTGTCTTTCGTTTGTGACTGATTATTATTATCCGCGAGGCCTGGATTGAAGCTCAATTTGAAGCTTTCTTTGCGCGCGGCTTTCGCGCCTCCTGCCTCTTTTTCCAATTTCTCTGCCTGATTTTTTTTTTTCCATGCTTCCTTTTTTTTTTTGGTTTTCGTTTGGTGACACCAAATCGAATCTTCATGTTTTATTCAGATTTCTTGCTTCGATGGCTATCCGGATTTGTATCGCGTGCTTTCGCTGCTCGGCTAGTGATGTGATGTTATGGAGAAGGGGTCCCAGAAGGAGCCATAAGGAAAGAATTGAAGTAGTTTTGGCCAAGAAAGGTGGAACCATCTTTTCGCATTTTTTTTAAAAAAACTGACAGAACGTGTTCGAACTTTGAAGGATACATTCACTCTCTTGGTTCAATTCTTCTTGTCTTACACCAAACTGGTCAGATCTGAGGGAACTATTCTAGATGCTTCACGGCTACTCGTGGCAACTCTGGCAAGTACATTCTAGCACATACAACGAAGTGCTTGCTCGTAGTTGACAACAGTTTATCTGCTCTCGTTACAAGCAAGCAAAACACAGGTGACACAATTTTTCCTCTTTCACGCACACATACACTACGATTCTCTCGTTGCATGCGAGCAGACGTCATTGGGCGCCGCTCACATATGTTGGTCAGAGGCCTTGCTCCTTGGCCGCATGTCGGCCAATTTGAAGAAAAAAAAATTAAAATAAAAGCTCATCATCTCAAGTGTCGACGCGCAGCGTCAAGTGCCCAATTTTGAACGACCATTACCGATCGAAGGAATTAGTTCTCGCGCGGTATGATGAGTGCCGTAGAAATCCGTCCCGTAAAGAAGAGACGGTCGTTTTGCGCACCCAGCGCAATGGGATCTGCGCTGGTGCCATACGCCATGCTGCCGGACACCCCACTCTCAAGTATCGTGGTTCCATCCACGTCGACGCCGATGCGGGCGTGACTAAAGCGAACTTCAAAATCGTGATAATAGCCATCATTCACATGGGTGCCACAAATAGACCCAGCTTGACCCGTCGCATAATAATAGACACACAGCCTGTACGTGCAACCAAGCAGTTCAAATAAGTTAAGAATGATTCGGCACGAGGCGTGGGCAAACCAAACCAGTTGTGATTGGACCCCAGCTCACCTCCGAGATGCACTGCTCAAGTACAACCCCCACAGCAACTGCCCGTCCATCCTGTGACGCGCCACAACAAATCCCAAGTCGCCTAAAGCTTGTTGAACTAAAAAATGTGCGCACATGGCCACGTGAGTGGCGCCGACGAATGACCGGGCTCAGCAAAGCTTGAGCCTGCACAGTAGGGAAAATCTGTCAATCAAAGACACACCTGTAGCGCGAAACGTCCATTGTGGTTCCAAACTACGATCCAGCCGGGCCCGCAACGCATCTCCTTGCCCATTGAACTCGACGACCCCGTCCCGCAACAACCGTGCGCCTTGATAGTCACTGATAGCCAAGAGATTCCAAGGCACAAGGTCGGTGCTATGGCTAATTCCAGTGTAAAGCAGAGTTGCTTTCTGATCCACCAGTAGGCCCGTCCCATGCGGACCCACTTGCAAATTATGGAATGTCGCATTAAACGCCGGAAGGCTCGCAAGCGTCAACTCGGCCCACTGTGTTCCATTCAAAAAGGCTCGTATCGTTCGGGCGTCTAACACCACGCTCAGTGACCACCAATCATTAAGAGTTGCCGAAAAAGCTGCACGCGCAGTGACCACTCGTGCGGGTGCTTGGCGCACAACAAGCATCAAAGCCGAGGCATTGATGGTTTGGACCGTCAGCTCAAACGCAATCGATGACCAAGTGACTAGAATCAACCACGGCACGAGCAGGATCAGGATTGTAAGCGTTGACGCCACAGAAACTTCCACACCCACACAGACGCAAACACACACGCGCGCATACACACACACACACGCACGCACACACACACATCTGAACCGACAATGGAGGGAGTCATCCATCAAGCACCTTGAAACTTGTTCTTACCTAAAGAGGTGGGACTGGTGGGCGTCAAGGTTGTCATTGGACGCGCCAAACGACCGAGCATTTGTAGCACACCGCGCCCACTCGCAAGCTGGTGGCCAAATACCATTGGCCCGGGCGTGCGTAGATACGACTGTGTTCCCAGCAGGAGCGCTGGGCCCGCAAGACTTGTGACACTCCCGCCAGCTGCAGCGGTTGCTTGCGCCAAGCTCAAAACTTCATTCTCACCAACACCCAGACAAACAGGTGCCTCAAAGCAACACACCTGCTCATCGCCGGTCGTGTGGCAGCCAACCAAAGATCCACAGGGATATTGGCCGGTGCCAGGGGTCAATACCAAGGAGCCACTGCCATCCGTAGTAAACACCCGCGACGCAGCAAGGCACACGTATCCATCATCGCTGCACTGATCTGCGGAGCATTCGAGATCCTCACAAAAAGTGCCCGTGTAGCCCAAGGCGCACTGGCACACAAAGACAGCATCGTCAGCGTCATCACCATCGCCATCCATGCATTCACCAGCATGAAGACAGGGGTTGTTTTCGCAAGGCGATATGCGTTCTGTGCACAGCGCTCCTCGATAGTTCTCAGAGCAAGCACAACTAAAGTTATGAACGCCCGTCTCCTCGATACAGACACCATAGGGACCGCACGGATTGGACTCACAATCCGCATCTAATTCCTCGCCACAATAAGGTCCGGCATGAGTCGCAGGACAAGTACAGTGCACTGCCGTGCCGTTTGTCCAGCAAGTGCCGCCATTCTCGCAGACAACTGAATCGCACAGAGGTATCGTCACGCAAGTTGAGTTGCGCAATTGTGTACCAGCCGGGCAAACACATTTGTAGGACCCTGCCAGATTAATGCAGTCAAATCCAGGTGCACAGGGCATGTTCAAAGCTTCACATTCATTGACATCAACCCCACACGCTGGGCCTGCCCAGCCAGGGGAGCAGGCGCAGCTGGCCTGATTGTAGCACGCTAAGGTACCCGCAGTGTAACACGCCCCGTCTTGTCCACACAGGTTGAAGTCTATGTCACAGTTGGCTCCGGTCAAGAAGGGATTGCTGCATGCTGAGGGGCATGACATGGTGGTTGATTGGCATGGCTTTTCCTCGACCTGAGCATTTTCATCACAAGGCACGCCTCCGTTCTCTGCAGACACGATCATGGAACGTCGGCGCTGTCGGAAAAACCCTGTCTCGCAAGTACCCGCACAGCCGCCCCACTCACTCCACGAACCATACTCGCAATCCACAGTCCGACCATCAATCGGAAAAGGAAGACAAACTCGATCCGACGTTGCCGTGCACGCAATAGCCTCGTATTGACCAGCAGGGCATGGGCCAAAGCCGCAGGACTGGCACAAACGATCTGTCTGCTCGGTTGGTGGTCGCGCTTCAAATTTTAACATTGTGCAGGTCGTCACATCGGCACATTGTCCTTGAACCACATACTGACCCTCCCTGCAGGACTGAATGAATGCCAACTCCACCGTGCCATTGATGGTGACCGTGTCCCCAGCTCGCCACCCGAGACCCTGTATATGCAGATGACGCAGGCCAGACAAGGTTTCATCTTCCGAAGGCGGTATAAATGCATTGAAATAGCTCAAAGTGCGCAACACACGTTGAAACTCGACAGATGGTGATGGGCCATTGAGATGCAGCTCGAGAAGCTCGGGATCATAAACAACTGAGATGTTAGAAGACGCTGTAGCCGCGGACAAGGCTTCTTGACTCGCGGAAAGAGGTGGGGCAGCAAAGGGATGGACCGCGACTACGCGCACCGTGATCATGTCCACCACGTCAATGTTTCCAAGTGTCGCAAAAGGCAGCACAAGAATGGGCTCGCCGCCCACACGAAAGTACCGTGTTACCGTGTGCGAAATTTCCATCAGATCAACATCGAATGGCTCTGCCCGCTGGATCGACATGATTGTGATGCCGTCTGCGGCCAGCGCACTAGATATATTGGTGCTACCGGACCCGCAACTTGCCACCCGAAGTGCCAAGCACCCATCAGTGCTGTTGAGTGAGAGTGGCCATGCCAGGTCAGCTTGAAGGCGCACACCACCCAAAGCCTGAAGTCGTTCCATCACGGTGTCATCAAGAAGCAGCCATGATGGCCTTGACTTAGTTGGTTGTGTGCAACTGACAATACCCATCTCGGCGGAGTTTGGTGGCAAATAGCCCGTTGGTATGGCTATCGTGAAACGAACACGCACGTCCATCGCCTCGTTGAAGAATGGCTGCATCACGCTAACATTGGAACCCACCAACACGAGGATTTGTGGCCCATCGAGCAAGTTTGCATTGATTTCAGGCAAAACGCTGTAATCTCTGTCGTCGGCAATCACGGCATGGCCTGTCACACGCCAGCCTGGAATTCTCATTGTAGCACTCACATTGGCTACTCTGAGATCCGGCTCCTCAAAGTTCCCGTTGACTAAAAGCTCGAATTGCCCTTCACCATCCTCCACCGTTGTCATCAAGTCCTGAGTCGTTGGCATGTCGACCATCGTTGTGGTGGGAAAGTCAGGGCCGTCGCTAGTTGAAACCTGATATTCACCTGTTGTTGAGTAGAGCACCTCTTCACTATTTGTGGAAGCCTCTGACGCGGGCGAGGTCCATTCCAAAGCTTCGGTGGTTGTTGAAACTGCATCAGCAGTGGTGATTTCCTCGCCACCTACAGTCGTCGATACATCGTCGGCTGTGGAAATCGCACTCTCTCCTGTGGTCAAATCATAGTCCGCATTTGTTGTCGATGCAATCGCATCGGACGTGGTCATAACATCATATTCTGACGTGGTAGCGATGAGCGGCGTTGATGTGAGGGTCGTCGGAGGCGCTGAGGCGCTGAAGGTGGCTGATGTCGCTGAACTGGTAGGTGTCGTTGAAGTCGCCAAACTCGACAAGCTAGGCGAGGTCAACGTGCTGGTCGAGCTGGAG